GTTTCTCTTGGTGAACATGCAAGTCATATTTACTGTCCGGCTGGTTTGCAGAGAGTGAATTTCAAACTCACACTGCAGGTACATGCACGTTTATCCAGTCAGGGATCAAAAACAGTGTTATGTGACTTATCTCATTAAACTTAGCTTGCCCACACAACTCAAGACATTGTATATCAAATACATCCACTGATTTTTTTAGGATCAGTGAAGAATAAAGATGTGTTGAATAAATTCAGACAATGAATCAGCGTGAGGAAATCACAATCCACGGGCAGATAATCTGAAAGCAGCACAGGCACTAAATTCACTAAATGAATTATTTGCAAATTATATACTCTGCTCTAACCCTAGCTAATAATCCTCTGTCTCATTTTCATATTAACAAAAAGGTTGAGGGAGGAAGAATCAAAGGAAATAACAAGAAAACTCTGATGCAGAAAAAAATGTTTAATGGCTGTGTTTTCAAGGGATTTTTATGGTATATCATGAGTGACTTAAAATAAAAGTTGTGTGAAATATAAAAATGTTCATGCAGTTGAAAGATGCAGTGTGAGCATTTCTGTAAAAATATTCTTGCATAGTTGAGGGTTTTTCCCCCCACTTAGTTCCCCAAAATTCTCCTGATTTGCCTCAAATTGAGTTCTAAGAACACGAAAACTTTTCTTCTTCCTCTTTTTGTTGTTGTTAATAATAATTTCTGAACTACATGCTAAGTACTGATACCAGCAAGTATGACTGCTGGACTGGTGCACATCTGAACACTGAAAAAGTATGTCTGAAGATGACAAACTGTAGGCCAATCCTGCTAACATTTCCTATGGCTTCCGTGGAACAGCTCACAGTAATAGGCAATATACCCACTAGTAGATGTTTGCAGGATTGCGTCCTATGACTTCATAACATACATACACTTCCTACTGCATCTACAGACCATTAAGTGCCTTTTGAATACACACTACCAACCAATTTTTAAACTTTGATGTATAGCAAGAACAGAATCCCACGCAGTAGTCAATATTCATCGGGCTACCCAGAATTATCCAAAATAGATTTTCAAAAAAGTCCGACAAAGAAAACAAAAAATCCCCAGATTTGTGTCTATCCAGTAGAATCAGCACCTCGGAGTGGATTTCAAACTCTCATAATCTGAATGAATTCAGCGAGGCTGTTAACAAAGGTGTCATGCACCCAACATACACCTTGTCCACTTCTTATATTTAGAAATGACAAAGAGGTTAGCTGGATGGACATGAAAGCAGGAGGAGGGGAAGGGAACACACAAATTCTTTTCACGTGAAAAAGCTTTCAGCTTTCCTGTGTGTCACTAGTTCGCATCATTCTTTAGAAACGTTCTGAAGTGATTTCTGCTGTTCCAGGAAGATCAGAAGGTTTTCTTGACCCTGGTATAAAGTGGTTTCTGCTACACTGTGCATGTGTTTCTCTGAAAAAAAGACTTGTAGATCAGGAGTAACCTAAGACTTCTAAACAGCATCTTCTCACGTGGCCTGGTTGCTGGATGCCATACCCAAATGTTCACTTTCCTACTTTCAAATCCTATTTGGTATTTGACACCTCTCTCTCTCTCCCCAAAACACTAGTGACTTCCCCAGTCTCCTTCCTTTTCCTTTTTGAAGGCTACTGCAATCCAGAAATACAAAGATTAATGGTACAATCTCACTAATTTTCAAATGCCACGATCATCATATCCAGACACTGTGCTTCACCTGACATACTCTGTACCCAAGGCATATTCTAACCGTAAATGACATGGGGATTCCTCCAAAATCCAGCGAAGTCTTAACTCCACTGGGATTTGGATCATGCCCATGACCTGGCCACAGTAATTTGGTCAGCTATAAATTTAAAAATATATAAAACCATCATGCTTGTTTCTCTCATAGATGGAGTTGATAGATAATTAGCGCTCTGGGTTTTCTCCTCCTAGATCTCACCTGAACTCATCCAATGATCCTCAACAAGTTCTTTTTTTCTTTCTCACTTGAAACCCCAACAAATCCATAATCCAACATCTACATCTGCTCTTTCACGAACTATCTCATTTTAGAGTGGATGATGCTTCCAGGCCAGGGTTGAGAGACCAAAGTCAGTTCAAGAATCCATTGGGATCCTCTGACATGAGACGAACTTGTAGAGAAACGCAATGCAGGTGTTCCTTGTACTGCCACTCTCCCAGCATTCACGCAAACAAACATTTATCTATAATTCATGAAAACAGCAATAATCCCAGGCCTTGCTGCTGGCAAAGGAGGGTAACTGAAGAAAAACCCCTGTGCTGTGTCCCAGTGAAAGCCTGCAGAGGCATCTGTGTCGGAATACACCATTTCAGAGAGACTCCATTCATCTCCCAGGAAAAGCGGGTTAGTACAGACTCAGATGTCTTAGACTTTCTGGCCGTTTTCCAACCACAGACATCACAAAGGCACAATTCAAATGCCCTTCCTATCTGGCATCAGTGTCCTTGAAAGAGAAGGGAAAACATCTTACAGAAGGCGACTGACAAAACACAGAAAACAGTAATCAAAGGGTAGGAATTATTTTGGCCATGCCTCTGCTCAGCATGACTAAAGACCTTGTTCTGATCTCACTCACACTGGTGCAAGTCAAGAGGAACTCTACTGAAGTCAATGGAGTTACAGGAGCGAGGGCAGGAATCAGGCCTTTATATCCCTTCATCTTTTATGGTAGCCCAGTGCTGTGATCTCCAATGGAAGACTCTAATAACTGCGCTGACCCTCATCTGTACTTCACACTGTCTAATACCAGGGGCGCAGACGTTGTGGGGCAATTCTATAAGTAGCACAAAGGATAAATGTTTGTGCTGAGTTAGTGTAGATGGAGCCTCAAAGCACTCTGAGCGAGGGTGTGATTCCAAGGTCACATATGCATACTCATGCTAGCTCTCAGCAAGCTAGCATGCTAACCACAGCAGTATAGCCATGGCAGCACAGGCTAGCTGCCCCAAGTACAAACTCACCTGATGCTCTTGGGTATATACTTGGTGTGGCTAGCCCACGCAGCCTGTGCTACCACAGTAACACTGCTATTGTTAGAGTACTAGCTGAGATCAGAACTGGCAGGAGTATATGCATGCCAGCTGGGAATCAGTCACTTGTAGGGTAGATGTAACCGGAGTTAACACTCAGAGAACTCTCCCTGTTTGGTAGTGCTTTGGAGGTGGTGTGATTTCAGGCTTTGATAGGCTCATCTCCACAGGCATGGGGAGAGGGTCTGGAAACTGGGGCAAGGATGGAGCAGGGGACTCATCCATTACCTTCATTTGAGGTCTCCACTTCTTCCTCCACCTGCATGCACTGTGGCACCCAATGGCACCCCACATGGACATCTATCCCCTTCAGAAACTCACGTCCATTGTGCTCTTCCCCACTTCAGGGCATCGCAACAACATTCAGGATAAAGAGAGTCACACTGAACATGTAATTTCCTAGCTTATGTTGATGGCGTGAGGTGCATGAAATACCCTCCTCATCCCAGTTCACCAGGCCACAATGCTTTTCTTCTTCTAGTACCTCCTAAAGACTTATAAAGAATAGACAAAGATCTATGTAACTCTGAGTCAATTCTTTCTCTGGGCTTCCTCCATCTTCTCCGTTTCAGTCTATTAGACTGTTCGTTGTGTGGTGCAGTGTAACAGATTGGCAGTGTCTGTCTGAACCACCTTACCCTGACTGCAGGGGTTGATCTTGCTGGGAAAGGGTTAGATGGGTTTTGTGAACTCTATGAGACAGATGGCTCATTATTCCACCCAAATAAAGGAGGTGGGAGTGGTTTTCCAGGAAGAAAAGATCTAGTCTGAGCAATTCTGAGGGGACAAACCCTAGGAAGCAGGACTGGAGTGAACTTTGTTACCTTATTATTATTATTTATTTGTATGGTGGTAGAGCTTAGGACCCCATCATGTGAGGTGCTGTACAAACACAGAATAAAAAGATGTAAGCTCTTTGGGGCAGGTACCAATCTAAATAACAGTTTACTTCCTTGTTAATAAAGACAGACCCCTGAAAGGGGTGAATTTTGTCTCTACACAGCATGTGTGGACTGTGTTTGTACAGCAGGTGTTTGCTCACAGGCAGGGAGGCTTTCATTTTCTCTGATACAGAGCCATGCACATTGTCAGTGTCTAGCACATGTAAATCATAGTTGCATGTGTTTGGTTGGTTTTGGTGTTTGTTTTTTGTGGGGAGCATGGCAGGGGGGGTTACGTATCATTTTCTCCAATGTATTATTTATTAAATGTCAAAGGCTCCAGATGGGTCAGGCTGAATCCAAGCTTTAAACATGTCTCCATTTTGGAGCTGGTTCAGAGCCAGCCTCATTTCAAACTGCCGCTGAATAACATGGAACCTGAGTCCCTGATGCAGACAAGGAAGAAATAATCTTTTCTGGTCCACATGTGCAGGACTCACTTTTCATGATGCGTTGCTTTAAAAACTTAGTCCTTATGAAAGAGCCATGAGAAGCCTTATTTAAATATGTCTTAAACTGAGCCCTCTGGCCATATTCAAGTCCTGATTACTGGTCTCTACAGTTTTTTCTCTCTGATCTATTTTGAGGGGGGCGGTGAAGGAGGGAGGGTTATTTTACTCTGAACTGAATTTAGAATAAAATAAGGTCCATCATGGACCTTGCAAACAAGGGGGAGGGTAAGTAGTAAGGCAAAAGAGGACTTTCATGATCTCTGGTGAAAGAGGGTGCAACTTTTTCAGGAAGGTCTGTTTTGGGATTATGCCAGAGTTGAGCCCCATGAGTTCAGGAAGTACCCTTGCTACAGCTCAGGAAGTCAGACTAAAGCCCGGGTGGACTTCCTCGTTTTGGCATGCCTGCACTGGGGCGGAGAAATGTCTTTAATGCTCCTGTTGCACTTGAACAGTACGCATGAAATCTCTGTCTTTAATCTCTCCAGTACCATCCTACTTCTTTAAAAAAAACAACTAATGTATAAACACATGTATAAAACCTACCTTGGTGAAGCCTATTTGTTCCTTACGAAAATTTTCCAGTGGTTTGATCAACAAATCACTAGCATTTTGGACCTGCAGAACACAGAATGAAAAAACAGCTTTGTTACACAGCACATATTTGTGTTACACTAGAGAGATGGGGTAGGGGAGCAAACTGAAAGGCCCAAATTGTAATCCCAGTTCTAATATTGACTTGCTGAATGTCCTTAGACCAAGTCATTTAACCCATGTGTCTTCTTGCCCCACTATACAATGTAGGTCAATATTATCCCCATCTCATGGAGCTGTGAAGAAGCACTATGACAATAGTAGTGTTCAGTATTATTATTAGACTTCCACAGGCCTCAAATCTACTAATACCACAGGATGGCGAGTTAGCACTCTTCCTTAAACTATCTATTACTACCCTCCAGAGTAAATTTCTAACCATTTCTAGTGTGGCACTTTCTATTGGATTACAGGAATCAAAGTGGCAGACTTTTGAATGTAAGAGGATTGGGAGATTATTCTACTGGATCTTTGGTGCAGGGACCCTTGTTATAATTGTCCTGTTGTTGCAATCAGGAATACATAATATGTTTAATATAAGGGGAAGGTTTGCTCCAGCACATCTTCTGGATCTTTCTAGCCCAAGTACCAGACAACCCACAAAACAAACTATAACAAAAACAGGACTTTGCCATGAATAAGATCTGAATTGATGTCCAACTACTATAATTCACACTCAGGAGTTGGCACTATGTCTATAGAAGGGAGAACTCCATCTTTAAAAAGGGGAACAAAGAAGACCCGAGGAAATTCAGACCGGTCAGCCTAACTCTGATACCTGAAAAGATACTGGAACAAATTATTAAACAATGAATTTGAAAGAACCTGGAGGATAATAGGCTCATGCTCAAATAAATTGGTTAGTCTCTAAGGTGCCACAAGTACTCCTTTTCTTTTTGCGAATACAGACTAACACGGCTGTTACTCTGAAACAGGATAATTAGTAATAGCCAACATGGATTTATCAAGAACAAAATCACACCAAACCAATCTAATTTCCTTTGTTAACTGAGCTATTGGCCTAGTGCAGGGGTCGGCAAACTTTGGCACCCAGCCCGTCAGGGTAAAGCCGCTGGCGGGCCGGACCGGTTTGTTTATCTGGAGCGTCCGCAGGCATGGAGCCCCGCAGCTCCCACTGGCTGCAGTTCGCCGTTCCCGGCCCATGGGAGCTGTGGGAAGCAGCGGCTAGCACATCCCTCGGCCCACGCCACTTCCCGCAGCTCCCATTGGCCGGGAACAGCGAACCACGGCCAGTGGGAGCTGCGGGGCTCCATGCCTGCGGACACTCCAGATAAACAAACCGGTTCGGCCCGCCAGCGGCTTTACCCTGATGGGCCGGGTGCCAAAGGTTGCCGACCCTTGGCCTAGTGGATAGGGAGAAAGCAATAGACATGTTATCTTGATTTTAGTAAGGGTTTTGACACAGTCCCACATGACAGTCTTATAAGTGAACTAGGGAAATAACTATAAGGTGGGTCCATAACTGGTTGAAAGACTGTACTCAAAGAGTAGGTTTAGGTTAGATATTTGAAAAAAATTCTAATTATAAGGTTACTTAAGCTCTGGAATAGGCTTCCAAAGGAGGTTGTGGAATCCTCATCACTGGAGGTGTTTAAGAACAGGTAGGACAAACACAGGTCAGGGATGGTCTAGTTTTACTTGGTCCTACCTCAATGCAGGGGACTGGACTTGATGACTTCTCAAGGTCCCACCCAGCCCTACATTTCAGTGATTCTTTGTTTCCAATAAACAACCCCTCTCTGATCACTGCTCTGCTAGACACCCAGGCTCCTTGGCTGGAAGGAGAATCCCCTCAATTCAGGGTAGGGTGTCCAGAAGTCCTGATATTATTGGGACCATCCCAATATTAGGGGCTTTGTCTGACATACGCAACTATCCCCCCACCACCCCCTAAAAAAGTGTCCTAGTTTTTCACACTTGCTAATTCAGGGTCTTTGAAAAAATATGGGGCACCTCAAAAAATAATGACATGACCTCTTGCATATGGCACTAGCTGCTGACCACAACTCACGCAGGATGGGCTGACAGGAATGCCTGCTGCTCTGCAAACAAACTAGAAGCATCTTGCAGAAGGCAATGCTGTTTGTTTACTTTTCTCAGGGAAAAAGAAAACACCAAAAGCAGGAAGCAGATTATATGTATTTTAAACATGGTGCATGAATCATCCATGCTGGTGTCTGCAACCTCCTTTTAACTCAGATTGCTCACTGTCTGCAGGGTCAGGACAGGTTGGCTCCATCTTCGGAATTATATATATAATGATTCCTGCCCAATCTAACAGGAGAAACAGGGTAGAGGAAGCACATCTCTCTGCAGCGGCTTCTCCCCGGCCTCTGCTCTTGGCCAGTCTGTTTGGTACCAAGTGAAACCTCTGTCATCCTCACTGCAACACCACTCAGCACAGCTGTTGCTCCAGCCCTGCTTTTCCATTACAGCAACTATTCCTTTTGCAGTGGAAGCATTGAATGATAATCCCTGAATATGATGGACATGTGAACCGGTGAACACAATCCCTGAGCCAAGAGCATGGCCTGTTGCCAACATTTCTAAGTGAACAGGAAAGTTGGTGAATGCATTCCTAGGGAGTAACTGAATCAGACCCGAAATGAACCGTTTTTCAAATCTAGCCACCCACAGCAACTTGTGCCCAAGATCTCACCCCCAGGAAGGCCCACATATGTGAGAATTGCTCCCCACAGACACAACATTAGCTGGGAGCTCAAAATAAGATGCGTAGAAAGGGCAGTGGGAAGAGCAGAAGGCTAGTGTTGCATCCTTGGCGTAACACTTCCCAAAACACTCAGTTTCCAGATCCAGCCTCTCTGATCGCAATAAACACATGTGGGCAGAAGAGCAGATTTAAAATGTGCTCTTAAAGAAATAAATTAGGGACATTCCTTTTGATGAGGCATAATCCAAAGAAGCATGAAAGCAGGTGACCATGCAGCAAAGCTACTACCAATGTCTATCCCGAAGGAACCTGTGACAAAAGGCATGATGAGTCTCAAACTTCCTGATCCATTATGTTCATGGAAGGATGTCTTCTTCAGACATGCTCTGTGACTCTTCTCTAGCAGTTTTGGAGGGGAAATTATATTCTACCATGTGTCACTGTTCCCAGCTCAACTCTAACCATTGAGGGGGACCTCCGTCCCCTGTGTCAAAAGGTGAGGGAGGCAGGGAGACACACCCAGAACTGTTAAAGCTTTGCCAGGACACCAGTTAGTTGGTAACTGAGAGCACAGAATACAGTATGAGAGGGCAGTGTGCTATATAGTTTACAGATTTTTTTAAAAAATAAATGGGATATTGTAAAAAGGCTGGCCCTAATAAATAATGCACCAAGGGTAGAAAAAGATCAAGAAAACTTCTCAGATGGCAACCCTAAGCCTCTGAAAACCTTCAGGTTGATAGGGTCTTCGCAGTTCTCAGGATCCCACCCCTTCATCCTCCCACATAAGCTAAAGGTGGCTGCTATACCTGGGATGCAATGCAAAACATTCTTGTTGCCTTCTTTCAGTCTATTGCTGGTTCTTTCTCATCTTGTTACCCAGACCCTTGCCAGCCTCTAGAGCCACAGAAAGCAGAGTCCTGGCATCCCTTAAGGTATAGATGTCCCTAACCCTTTAGTTCAGCCAGATGGCATAGGAGGAGTTCTTTCATCATTGTATTGGGGCACGGGGGAGCAGAGCCAAACAGTGAATTCCTGGCATGCTGTGAAAGGCGTCCACTGATTCTAACATTCATGTTTTTCCTGGAATAAGTGTGAAAAAGGGAGCCAACTTTCAATAAATGATCTAGGAGTTCTGGAGACAAAGGGGTACAATGTAATGAGGGACAGAAGGGAGTGAATCACCCTGCTGGAGCTGCATGCCAGGAGAGGCAGGAGCACAGGGGGACAACTGCTCCCTTACGAAAAAATAGGAATGTAAGTTACTTCATATTTTACAACCTATTTGACTAAGTGGAGCTTGAAACAGTTTGTTCCCAGACATGGCCCAGCTGGCCCCATCAGAAATTAACTGCCTTCTGAGTGAAGAAGGAACCCTTCACGGACCTTTAGGGTTCCTTCAATATGCCCTTGGCTGCTCAGTGACCAAATCTTGCTGGTGGAAGGATTGCCTGGCACCTGGGACAGGTGCTGGCAAAGTGAAGGGGAACCGTCTCCCTTGCCCCAAAACTCCTTTATATTGTAGAAATGGAAAAGTTTCTCCTTCTCTCTCACCCCTTGGTTGGCTTTGGAGCATTCAGAGGGGAAGGTCAATACTCAAGTACGGCTGGTCAAAAGATAGTTCTTGAGGGGGATATTCCACATCCCTTGTAAGCCCTACAGGGCCTCCAGTTTCCTTTGTCTTTCAATGCTCAGCACAGTAGCAATGGTGGAGACTATGGCATCCCACTCAGAGACCATCACCTCTCTTTTACAGATCAGAAGATGTCAGGTACCATCCTTTCAGCACTCCCAGCCCATAGCCTCGAGACATTAGGAATCTTGGTATATATGGTCACTCGCTATTTTTCTAGTATAGTTTGGCAGTTACACATTGTAACTAGACCCATTAACTGCCAAAGCACAACTGAGCTAGCCGAGACTGGGCTGTGAAATCGGAAGACCGAGTCACATGATCACAGAACCTAAAACAGGGAACCTTCAACTGATACTATACCACAGGACAGGCAGGATAAATTGGAGACACATTTAGCCTTATTCTGCACTATGCAGTATTGGGGTGCTGTTCCTATCTCTGGTAGAGTTACATTGCCAGAAAAGTGGTGTAATGCAGTACAGAGTCAGGCCCCAAGAGTGGTAGATTTCTGCCAATAGATTGCAAAAGAGAAGCATCCATGAGATAAGCTTATTATTCCATCAACCCTCTGGAGCCTTTAGTATGTGCAACAATTAAAAATCAAAAACTTTCCAGCCCTGCTTTAATATCAAACGCCAGTGAGGGGCATTTGAGATAGGTAGACTGTCAATCTAGGTCTGATACACAGTCATGTAAAAGCAAGAGCAGGTTATAGGTCCTTCATGTCTGGAATTGCTTGATGACAGCTTTGTCATATCTATACCCTATATAATGTAATGAACCAGCTTGTGTTTGGCTATATAAGATGTACACACCATTACTCTTTACTGAATGGGATAATAGAGCAGCTGTGTCATAGGCCTTATACTTCAAACAGCTAAGAGAGATTCCCCCTTGAGCTCAAGGGTGAAAGCCAGTGCTTTCTTGGAACAGGACGATACAAATTCTATTCCTCACTATTACCATGAATTTCTGCGTGGCCCAAATGTGCAGCATTATGACAATAATGTGGTCCTACCTGGCCACTGATTTGCTACAGTAATTTCAATCCTTTTGTGTAATACACTTATGCCTAGGGTACAAATAGGCATAATCACTGTCATACTCCAGGGCCCGAGGAGGGATTTGTTAACAAAATCAAGTTTTGCAGTTAAACAGAAAATACCAAAGAAGCCACGTGTTTGCTATGAGCATCTTTGTGAGTTATAGCCCACAGCAGGTGTTCAGCGGAGGTCACCTTACCATCATTGATCTCTCAAGTTCTACCTCCTGGAGCAATTCTGCAAATTCCTTAAACGATTCAGCTATAAAGAGAGAGAAAAATGAAACAATTAATTAGTGCAGATCCTGGTCAGATGAGCGTTGAATTTAGCCTCTTGATTGCCCATTAAGTACAACACGCCAAGCAGGGCCAGAGAAACAGCTGGGGTTTATTGGCTGACACTCCATCTAGGCAGGCTGTTTCCAGATCCTATATAACACAGGCTTTCCTTTTCTCTCACAACTGTCCACACCAAAGCCATGCCCAAAATCTGCCTCTTAGGCTTAAGTAGCAGGTTGAAACCTTTACTCTTCAACTTTAATGAAGGCCTTTGAACAAGCTCGAAAATCTTACTGCATCTTTGTCACTTTGAAGGCTCTCCACCCACTCTCTCAGCATTGCCCAATTGTAGGAGAGTGTGATCACAACTGACATAAATGCTGCTCCATGGGTTGGCTGGAAGAGTGGAACAAGTGTTGTCCTTTGGCTGACATGCTGCCTGAGGCAGAAAGCACTGCCTCCATCAGCCATGGAGGATGCAACAGGACACTTCTCCCTGTTGTCAGACTCTGGTCCACTACGGCAGGAACAACATGGAGGTTTATCCTTCATGGAGCTTTGTTTATTTAATCAAAAGGAAAGAAAATTCAGTCCAAGAAAGCTCTCTTCCCCTCCCTCTCTACAATCTTGGGCCTTGAGGAAGAGGAGGTGAAATCTCCCACCATTTCTTGTGGCTAACACTAATGAGGCCACATCCTCATATTGCAGTCAGATCTGATCATTTTAACATCTGTATTCTGGGGCAAAGAGACAGTGTTTATTCCTTCTATGTGAGAAGTCACAAAGGTGATGTAACAGAAGTAATTGGAGCATATTAGCTCTGTCTCAGAGGAACTGAAAAAACTGCTGCTGCAGGTTAGATTTGGTTCATTATAGAATAACGAGGAAACTAAAGAGTGAACAGGGAAATCAAGTAGAAATATTTCATGCCCAGTTGCAGCTGAACATATGGAATAAGTTACCAAGCAAGGTCAGCAAGACAAATAATGCAAGGGAGGGAAAGGGGTGGGAAAAGTGAGAGAAAAGTTCAAAAGTCCATTTCTACTATTGCGGGGAGTGGCAGGTAGAAGGCAGCCATACTTCACTCCACCAGTTCCTAAACCTACGCAGCGTAACACACACCCCTCTCCCTGCCAGCAGTATGAACACTGCATAGTCAGGACCCATGACATTTTGAGGAGGGGGATACAGCCTGGTGGAGAGAATGGAGATCAGCTCCAGAGGTGCCAAGCTTCCTTTTTCAACGACTGCAATTGCTTGTAGAAATGACTTTGGAACATCTGTTCCATGCCTTCTCCCCAAGTCTTTGTCAAAAATCTGGCACTTCTGGAGAGGGAAAGCATCGCAGGGGAGCACATGAAGCGCTTTGGCAGCAAAGCTAAGGAGCAAGCCATGCTACTGGGGAAGATTATGACGGTGATTAAAGTAAAGGAATCGGAACTGTGTGCCAATGCCTTGAAATCCTGATGGTTTGGTCTTATCTGCCCTGCAGCTGGATTCCTTTGTCTAGGGTGCTAGAGCAACACAGTGGAAGGATTTGAGAAAAATCTTACATGCAGACACTGCCTTAGTGCCCGCAGGAAATGGTCAAGCACACCATGCTAGGTGTGGAGTACTTCACAGAGCCCCATGGAGAGGACTTCTCCATAAACTCTGCAGGAATTCCTACTGCCCTCTATTTACACTCACCCCTGGTTTGTTTACAGTTCAAGCCTTTTAATTCCAGAAGAGACTATATGTAGCCAATTAGCCCTAGCAGAGGAGACTGGAAAATTAACTCACTAAAGAAATTTTGAGAAAAACTTTGGCTTGTCACAAAACAAAAAGTCAGAGTTCCTAGAAGGGAGAGCATCAAGAACAACAGCTCTAAAAGCTGATCTGTGTTAACAGTGACTTAGAACATCCTCAGCAATGTGCCAAATAACGAAGAATGGAAGCATCCATGTGTACAGGGCGAACTGTACACCAGCATCTTGTTTTGCAGGTAATGTGTGCAACATCCAGTCCTTGTCCTAGCTTCAGGCTAAGTGCTCTATGCACCATTCAGAGGGACATAGCGATCATAGTGGTAGCTCAGGAACTCTGTCCTGTCTTTTGTTAACAAAACATAGCTGTAGCAACTACTGCAGAACAAATGAATGGTTGTTAGGTATTGTAGTGGCATTTACTGTACAATTGCTGAGATGGGCAGAAAAAGAAAAACCACCAACTTGTGATATGATAATTCCACTGTCATCATCAAAATAGCATCTTCTCGTTATTAGTCAGTGATTCCGAGTTTCCCCCACAAAAGAGAGAACTTTAAATTCCCAAACACCTCGCTTCAAGCTGGCTGTGCTGGTCATCATATTCTACTACTGGCCCAGGAACTGAGGCGTGCTAACGGTCAGCATTGTCACCGATGGCGATATGGAATCTGAAGCATCCACAGGTTCCAAGAGGTTAGGTTCAGGGAAAATGAGCACGAGGGCCAGGGCCAGAGCTGTCATCACTCCAGAAAAATGCCATAAATCCCTAAAGTGATGGGCACAACATGAGGGACTAAAAACCTCAAGGAGTTGTTCTTCCCTTGCTGCACAGGGAAGATTTATGCATACATCTCCTGAGGCAGTAACTGGAGTTACCCATATAATTTACTCATGTGTCAGTGGAAGACTAAGCCCACTTAAACTGTTTAAAAGCAACCTGCAAATGATTTTTAAAATGAGATTTGTGCCCTTTTTGCTGCTTTATGGCATGTAAAGAAGGATTGAAAAGTTTTGTTGTTGTTGGTCTTTTTACTGATTTGTTTGCCATTTTCCCTCCCTCCTAAGTTATTTAAGAATTTCAAGTCAGGTCCTCCCCAGTTTTGCTGGAGAACTTCTTGAGGATTCCAGTGATGTCTGTGTGTGAGCTCTCATTCCCTAGCTACAAGGTTTTCCGAATCTTCAGCAAAGACATCCTTTCTCCCAAAATGTTCATTAGGTAGTGCAGTTAATAGGGTTTTTGTTAACTTCCTCTAAGCGATGCCAGTTCTCCTGCTTTTATCTTCAGTCTCATAATAGGTGATATTTTGAAGCCCCAGTTCTTAGAGGCACATGAATGCAGGAGAATCTCAGCTTTCATTTAAAAAAAGTAAATTTTCAGGTCTTAGATTTGGGAGAAAAAGTGGAAAACATAAACCCTAAAAAGGTCAAAACAAAACAAAAGGCAAATAAAACCCACAACATGTGTTACTTCAAAAATCTCATGATTCTGCGGGGCCTGACTCCTGATTTTTGAACACACGTGGTTGGCTGTGCTCCAGTCTCAAAACAGCCTCACTAAAAATTAATCATATTAATAGTATCTGGTAAAGCTGTAATTTCATTACTTCCCCAGTCACCTTAGAAAGAAAAGGAGTACTTGTGGCACCTTAGAGACTAACCAATTTATCTGAGCATAAGCTTTCGTGAGCTACAGCTCACTTCATCGGATGCGCATCCGATGAAGTGAGCTGTAGCTCACGAAAGCTTATGCTCAAATAAATTGGTTAGTCTCTAAGGTGCCACAAGTACTCCTTTTCTTTTTGCGACTACAGACTAACACGGCTGTTACTCTGAAACCAGTCACCTTAGAGTTTCCCAGAGTAGACAAGACCTAAGTGTCCAACGAGGAATAAAAAGAAGCAGGACCAAGAAAAAACAACTCTTCCAGTACCTCCGCCCCCCAGTGCCTGGTACAATGGGACCCTCAATTCCTGACTGGGATCTCTACATGCTGCTGGAATATAAATAATAAAATAAGAAGTGGGGAAACAAAAGGTACAAGCCTAATTTGGTTTTCTTTGCAGTTAACCTTTAAGTGACAATAATTATTGAAAGTTTCCCATGCTCGTTTAGACACAGCACATATGACCAAAGGACTAACCACAATCTGCTATTTAAACAGACATGGGTCTTCCAATAAGGGTGGAGTCAATTTGTGCTCAATACATTTGGGGCACTCTCTTAAGATGGGAGGTTGACAATTAAGGGTTGTGTCTTGAGAAAATTCCACACCTACGGTGGTGTTTTCAGCAACAGAGTTGCTTATACCACTGGGGGGTTTCCAATGAACTTCGCCTATTGCCTCGACTACATATGTATGTGAAAACCTGGCTCTATATTGCTGAAGCTGTTCAGTGACACAATAATGTAAGTCATACAAGGCTATGTAATAAAGACATGTCAAAAGCAATTAAGTCTACCTCATGGGAAAGCTCCATCTACAAAGACAACACCAGTGAGGCGTCTTTCTCCTGAGTCACATTTGAAACATTCAACTTCATTATTTTATAACAACGCATTTTAGCTTTGCCCAAATCTGCTTGAGTTTGTAAAGAGCACAAGCCTTGCAGTCTACCACCACAAGAAATACAACACTGCTCACATTTACAGGTCAAACACACTCCTCTGGAGTTTGATTAAAAAATGTTCTATGGATTTGTATGCTCCACCCCTCGTTCTGCGCAGCACACCTCTGAGCTATCAGACCCTATGCCTGGGGAGAATCGTGACACTGATTACAAACCACCATGTCATACGAATTTTAAAAGTAGAATAATTAAAGTCACTACTGGGATGTCAATGATATGTTCCCATTTTCAGACAAAAGGGAGATTTTCAAGAAGGCTTTTTTTGTCTCACCCATCAGGGAGAGACTGCAGGAACTGGTGAGGAAAAAGAAATACAAACCACATTTCTTCATGCTGAATGATCAGAGAGGATCGCCTTAAAAGGGAACTTCCTTGGTTCACAACTGAAGAACTATTTGGTGTTGTTTAAGTTTGCATGGCTCAAGATCCGACCCTGTTATCTTCCTTCTTAGACCTGTTTGCAAACACCTTATACAGAATCTGTAATGCTTGATAGTCCTCCTCACCCTCCCAAACCACCCAGAACAAATGCTTTACTGTCACAGGGCACCTAGTGCTGGGGAGAGGTGCCAGCCTGACAGCTCTGGAGACTGAAGCTCTCTTTATCCATGGAACAGGTGCTCCACTGAGCAGATGCAGCAGCAGTGCAAACATCCCCAAGCTAACTGATGAAGAGGCTCTGTTTTCTTTCCCCCATAACCACTCCAGAGCGGTGGGCAGACAGGCTACACATTCAGACTGAGCTGATGAGCTGGAAATTTCTTTTGGATTAACAGGAAAGAGACTCTTGCTTCTTGGATTGCTCTTTGCCTCAGATCCTTCCGTTCCCAGTAGGGCTGATTTATATGCACTGTTTTCCTCTCCATTATCCAGCATCACATGAGTTTGGAAATTCAATACCTCTTTTTCCATTATAGTTGGACTCTGACTCTTTTTCAACAGATTTCACCTATGAGCTTTATGCTGAAGGAAATCAGATTCTGAAGGGCAAACCACAATCTGTTCCAAAATGCTTACAAAAAGCCAGCCTTTGCTTTCCTTCCTTCCTTCCCCCTCTGCTGCAGGCTCATAGAGTCTCTCTCAACATTGACACTGTCACACTTCCGGGCACAGTTAAACAATAATGTGAATCTGGCTTGAATCTGCATTAGTAGGCTATCTATTTTCCTCTCTATGCACCCAGTCCTGCAAGTGCTGAACACCCTCCCCTGCCCTTGACACCACTGGGAGTGGAGGCTCTCAGTATTTTGCAGGATCAGGCTCTATGATATTCCCTGGGATCAGAAACAGTTCTCCTGTATGACTCATGCACATTAGGCACTGCTATCCTATTTTCCACTGAATGCATCTGATGAAGTGAGCTGTAGCTCACAAAAGCTTATGCTCAAATACATTGGTTAGTCTCTAAGGTGCCACAAGTACTCCTTTTCTTTTTGCAAATACAGACTAACACGGCGGCGACTCTGAAACCTATTTCCTGTAGTTTGCTGAGCTTTCCAGCACGGCTAAGGAATTCCTGCACATTTTACGGAGCCCTCGCATATTGATGTCACCACAACAACAGTTCCCAGACTTCAAAACTGCTAGTTCAACAGTGATGGTTAATCCCAGGGCAGATGAATTCTAAAAATGCCTTTTTTAGGAAGTTTAGTCCATTACTTTTAGCTCCCTGGATACAGCGGGCAAATGTTTAACAAATAAAGAATTCACTGGGTTGGCAGGAAAGTAGTAAAATACAACGAAGCCAAACCAGAAACGGAGGCGTTGAGCCCAGGGAAGCTCTGCATGCTGCTGGCTGTCCACAACGAAGCTGCAGCTTCCGAGGCACATTGGGCGTCTTTTTCAATGTAATGGAGCATGTTAATTTTCTTCCCAAGGGGTCACAGGCTGGTGCTGATTCTAGGTCACCATGGGGATTGCACATAGCATTTCAAACTACAACAAGTTTAGATCGAGAAGTACTGTTAGCCTGGTTCAGAACACGCACAGCCATGTGCTCTGAGTCACACTATCTGGGCCAGGTAAAGAGCGGGGGTAAGACAACATGCAATAACACTCCAAAGAAGTCACCTATAGGGTACTTACTGTAATGGAGAGCCTCACTCTGGATTACTGCAATTCATTTCCAATCTTTGGCAATAAGGAGGAGGATTAGAGCTGTAAAAGCTATCAGGTCAAAATTAACCTACAGCACTGTGAGTCAGATTCTAAACATTAATGCTTGAAGACTTATTAGATGTGCTCTAAACTACATTTTTGACTGCAACTATAAGAGACCCACGCACTATGAACCAAATGGCATCTTAGAAACATGGCTCCTGGTTCTGTGTAAGGACCAGAACACAGTTATCAGTGCTGGACTCTACTATGCAGCCTCACAGTAAAGAGGAGATAAACTTTTCTAAGTAGCTGCAAATGTACATTGAAAGGAAAAGCACTTACCAATATTAATCTCATCATCAGTTAGTGTGTCCCCAATAAAGTCAAACTGAAAGGACTGTAGAGTCTGAGAGAATTTCTGCACGGCATAAGAGTAACCTGGAAAAAGAAGAAGCGAAGGTTGAATATTTATGTAATTGATACATGGGGTGGTGAGTAAAGTTTTAGGAAATAAACGTTGGAAGAGGAGATTTATAGCGGAGGGGTTAAAAAAAAACAGAACTGATCTCTGTGCACTCCATGGATTTCGCGCTCTCTTGAAAAATAAAAAAGATAAATGTGTATTTTATGTGCTGATATTAGGGAAAACACTTTCAAAGGGTCTCTGAAAGCACACCTGCAGTATTGGCAGATGCAACAAATTCCACAAGCAATTGATCATATGTGTCCAAATATCCTGGTGATGAGTGTAGGAATAGTTTTCATCTGCGGAAACGTGCAATCTCAAATATACTGTTCACCATTCTGGGATACACCCAGAGAATTTGACACTATGAATATTGTTTATGGGGACCAAGAGAGGTTAGCCATTTGTGGATGGCACGTTGGACCTTTTCTCTCCTTCCCCTGTAAATAAATAAAATGTAAGTTGAACATTACAGGTCAGATCTTCAGCTAGTGTAGATCAGTGTAGCTGTATTCAAATCAGTGGAGTTATTCTGATTTACATCAGCTGAGGATTTGCTCATACTAGGAGCCAAATTTGTCATCCAGGACATACCTCAAAATAGGCCTCAAGTTTGCTCAAGACATGCTATTGAACACTGACGCAGTACCCATCCTGACGTTTTAAACCAAGGCATTCAAAAATGTAAGTTAGGCTATTTAGATAGCTGCGTTATTTTCCAAAGCACTGAGCACCCAACAGCTCCCACTGGAGTGAACAGATACTCAGCACTTTTCAAAATCAGGTAATTTAGGCCATATCTACACTACCACTCACGTCGGCAAAACGTATGCTGCTCGGGTTGAAAAAAACACCCCCAAGCGACATAAGTTTTGCCGGTATAAGTGGTAGTGTGCACAGCGCTATATTGGCAGGAGAGCTGCTACTGCCATTCATTGGGGGTGGTTTAATTATGTTGACAGGAGAGCTCTCTCCCAACAGCATGGAGCGGCTATGTGAGAGATCTTACAGCGGCGCAGCTGCATTGGTACAGCTGTGTCGCGGAAAGGTATCTAGTGTAGACATCATGTAGACAAGTCCTTAAGCTTGACTAAGGCAAACATTTAGTTTGCGGCAAGCTGGAGTGTTAATCTACCCCACACTAGCCCTGCAGACGTGCATCCTGCTGACGTGTATTAACAGTTCATTAATGCACTTTGAGCCTCACTAATTGTTAATGAAGACCAGCAGGTGCACACGGACTGTTAGTCCATGACAGGCTAGTGCAGCATAGATTCATACTCCAGTTTGCCATAAACTAACTGTTTGTGTGGACAAGCCCTAAGTTTAGGCTCCCATATGTGAAAAGTGTTGCCTTATACTTAAGATAGTATTTGCATGTTTTGTATTTGATGAGAAGAAGAAAATCAATAGAACAAATGCTTTTGGGCAGATGGATGCATTATTGTGAGGACATGTATATTGCCATTTGGGGCAGTATTTCTACAAGTTTGCCCACTTGGAAAATAAAATAGAAAATCACCTTTCAAAATGATAGCTGCTTTCTCAGGGCATCACAAACACATAAACAAACAGTTCTATAGACAAGCAAGGTAGTGAAACTGCTGGGCTTGATAAGCCAGGGGTTGGTTGTCTGTGCTCTGCAGAGCACTTCCAGGTAGCCCTTGGATCTGTTTCTGTCCCAGTAATGAAGAAACTGCTAGTCTTTAAGCAAAGATGCTTCCTGATAGCAGTTTGTGCCTTGATCCAGAAATATTTTTAGGCTTTCCAGAGACGCTTCTGCCCAACAGAATCCTTTCTCAGTATCCTGTGTGGCTGCTTTGTGTCTTTGTCAGCAACACCATTGCTTTAAAATCAACTGATCACGTAGGCAGAAGAACTGGGGGGGGAACTGCAATTTCACTAATGCAGGGCTTGGAACCAGGGCCCCAGGACCCCGCAGGGCTGGAGGGTCTGAGATAGAGTTAAGCCGGGACCCAAGGTCTCAGCCTTATTGCTTTGCAGTGTAGATGCAGCCCTGCTTGACTCGGGTCCCAGGAGTCAGACAGAAGTATCCCACAATTCCATGGGACAACTTCCTTGGTTCTCTCTAGCCCAACAATCTGCAATCCTCTCTATTGAAAACGGAAGCCCCCCCCCCCCCTTGGTGAATGGCAGCAGATCAGATCAGCATTAAATCATTTTCTTCTGATCACCGATCTGCAAGCACACTATCACAGAACCTCTGGGGTTTGCAATGCAGTGCAAACTGATCAAGTCTTTTGCAAAGTGAGCTGCTTCAAAATTCCTGTAATGTGCAGGGCAGGCAGTAAAGTTTTCCCACAGCCCACCACAGTCCTAGGGCTAGAGTGGCCACATTTTGCGGGGTGGTGATAGGGACTCTGGGATATGGTTACTTTGACTCAGATCTGCACACTGCAGTGTGGACACCAGAGCCCGAGGTTCAAGCACTGGTTGGAAAAGTCCGAATGTAGAGTTAAAATACAATGTAGATGCTCAAGCCCAGATTCCCTAACATGGCTCAGCTGACTCGAGTAGCACTAACTCTGGGTTTACATTGCACATAGGCATTCCCTTAGGGCTTGTCTATGCAGGGACACTCAAGAAAAGTAATCCAAATTAACTAAAGGTGTGAATTTAAAATTGATTAGTTAAACTGCATTAAACCCATGTGCTGACAGACACTCTCATTCAGAATTAAAGGGCTTGGCTACACTTGCGAGTTAGACTGCATTAAAGAAGCCTCGGGCGCCCTAGCTCTCTACCCGTTCACACTGGCAAGGAACGCAGAGCGCTCTGACTCCACGGCTACAGCGCCCTGGTACTCCACCTCGGTGAGAAGATTAACACTTGTTGTGCCTTGGCTGAAACGCCTGGGCATTACTGTGGACGAGGTGTTGCATTACTGCGCTCTGATCAGCCTCCGGAAACGTCCCACAATCCCCTTTAGTCACGTGGCCACTCTTCTCATTGTTTTGGAATTGCTGTAGGAATGCAGAAATGCCCTTTGAAAGCTCCGTTTCTGACAACCGGCTGCTTATCTGCTCCGAGACAAAGCAACCATTACTGTGGAATGCTGTGTGTGTGAGAGAGAGGTGGGGGGGGTCTGCTGCTGTCTGAACTTACAAGACAGCATGCTGACATGCTCTCAGCCCCCCAAAAACCTACTCTCTCTCCCCCCACATAGACACAACACACTCCCTGTCACACTCCACCCCACTCACCCCCATTTGAAAAGCACGTTGCAGCCACTTGCATGCTGGGATAGCTACCACAATGCACTGCTCTCTGTGGCCGTTGCAAGAGCTGCTAATGTGGCCATGCCGGTGTGCTTGTAGCTGTCAGCAGTGTTGAGCTGGAGCCGGTTTGCTAGAACCGGTTGTTAAATTTAGAAGCCCTTTTAGAACCGGTTGTTCCACAATGGACAACCGGTTCAGAAAGGGCTTCTAAATTTAACCAGCCAAAAGTGGCGCCTTAGGCGCCGACTCCATGGGTGCTCCAGCCCTGGAGCACCCAAGGGGAAAATTTGGTGGGTGCAGAGCACCCACCACTAGCTCCCCACCCCACCCCGCCTCCGCCTCCTCCCCTGAACGCGCCGCCCTGCTCTGCTTCTCCGCCCCCCCGCTAGGCTTCCCATGAATCAGCTATTCACGTGGGAAGCTGGGGCAGGCTGAGAAGCAGGCTGCAGCTTCCCGCTCAGGCCCAGGGACGCGGAGGTGAGCTGCAGTGGGGCAGCATGAGGAGGGCAACCCGCGCCACAGCAGGTAACCTGGGGGGCGCAGTGCGTAGAGGAACTGCTCCTCTCCCCAGCTCACTTCCGCCACCCTCAGCCTGAGTGTGAAGTCGCTGCCTGCTTCTCTGCCCCCCCCCCCCCCAGGCTTCCCGCGAATCACCTGTTCGTGTGGGAAGCTGGGGCAGGCTGAGAAGCAGGCCACGGCTTCCTGCTCAGGCCCAGGGAGGCAGAGGTGAGCTGGGGCAGGGGAGGAGGGGGGCGCGAGGAGGACCGCCTGTGCCGCAGCAGGTAACCGGGGGGGGGGGGGCGCAAGGGAACCGCTCCCCACCCCAGCTGATTTGCGGGAAGCCGGGGGTGGGGGGCGCGGAGAAGCAGAGTGGGGCAGCGCGTTCAGCGGAGGACGCAGAGCGGAGTTGAGGTGATCTGGGGCCGGGCGCGGGGTTGGGAGCTGTCAGTGGGTGCTCTGCACCCACCAAATTTTCCCCGTGGGTGCTCCAGCCCCGGAGCACCCAGGCAGTCGGCGCCAAAGGCGTCACTTTTGATGTGATCAGTGGCAGAGCGGCCGCTCCCCCTGCTCCCCCCCCAGCTACGCTCCCCTGCCCCTAGGAGCCAGAGGGACCTGCCGGATGCTTCCTGGGAGCTGCCCCAGGTAAGCACCTCCGGAACTCCCCACCTCGCCCCCCGGCATGTGCCTCTGGCTCTTAGGGGTGGGGTGGGCACCCACTACGGTGGCCCACGAGACCCTCCTGCCCAGTTCTAGGGGCAGTCAGGGGACAGGGGAAAGGGGTTGATGGGGCAGGAGTCCTGGGCGGGGGGCATCAAGGAATGCAGGGGGGGTGGATGGGGCAGGAGTTCCGGGGACCAGGGATGGGCCATGACCCCCTCGTGGGGTGAGGAGGGAAACCGTTGTTAAGATTTTGGCAGCTCATCACTGGCTGTCAGGGTGGACAGACTGCAGCACTTTCCCTACTACGCTCTATGAAGGCTGGTTTAACTCAAAGTGCTCTACATCTGCAAGTGTAGCCATGTGAAGTAACCGAACAAAGGCCACTTTAATTCTGAATAGAGTACCCACACAGGGCTTTAATGAAGTTTAATCAATCCACTTTAAAGCCACACCTTTAGTTAACTTGGATCAATTTTCCTGAGAGTGTCCACATGTAGACAAGCCCTCAGATGCTTAGGGCCACAATTTCAAAAGCACCCTCTGATTTGGGGTCCCTCCATTTGTGGGTGCCC